GGTGATGGAAAGAAAGTAACTAAATGCGACTCAACTTTCCTGGCCTCAACAATGGCGGAAGGGGAGGAACATAGTTGGAAGAGACGCGCATAGAGAGAGTAAGAGAAAGGTTCAGGGGAGCCAAACAGAACAGAAACGGCTTTCTGGAGATGACCCACTTTGAGGTGGTTGAGGATTGTGTCAAGTGCGGCTTTGGAAGTTGTGGGTTGACTTTGGAGCTTGAGATTTCTGGGTTGAAGGACACGACTGAGGATAGACGCTGCATTCACGCCCATGAAAACCAAGGGGATAAAAACAGCCGGCACCGTCCGTGGGAAATTTCAAATTTCTACCCTTATATAGTACTTCAATACACCAAAATCCAAAATCCGTAAATAAGATTATGTACCAATAAAAAAAAAATGATCATTTAAGTTCAACAAAAAAACAATTAAACAATGCTTAAAATTGCATAAATGGAAAATTTATATCCATGTTTATTAAAGAAAAAATATTATAATAATAATTTTTTTCTAAAAATGTATTGTTACATTATGTTAGATATATAATAATTTAACATATTATTAAAAATTGAAATATATACTATATGAATTATAAAATAGGATCACTTTTGAGTTTGGAAGAATACCACAAAAAAATTTGTTTTTTTTGAAAATATAAAAATCTAAAATGAAGATGGGTTTAGTTTTTTTCACAACTATAGTTCCTAAATGTTGCTCCATATTTACCCTAAGACCCACATCCAAGTGTTATAATTGTTTAGACTTCCTTTCTTAGCTAGTTCTTGATTGACAAACACCTTTCTCTCCAAGGTAGCATAGGTAATTAAGTTCACATCTTATTCCTCCCCCTTTCTTAGCTGAGACTAGCTAATGAAGTCTGTAATTGGGAGGCTAAGTGATGGAGAAGAACTCATACATGTTATATATGTTAAATTCACCAACATGACAAAAATGAGAAGTATTATCAAGTCATTCATGAATTGTGAGGGGAAAAGTCCATTCCATATCCAAAGCAATCCAAGTTTCCTCAACTATGAGTATTTCAGCTGTCTTGCAGCAATATCTGTATTTTATTATCATTGGACTAGAACAGCAAAAGTGTGGAAATATCCCTCTTCCCTCATCCCACCCCAAAGATAGATAAAGAAAAATTTCAAGAGATCATCAACCCTTTCCCTTTAATGTTTTCACCCGAGGAAGAAACCGTTGCAGAAGTGGTCTTCAAAACAGATCTCCGCAGCACAATCTGGCAGATATCCAAAATACACTGTTATTACAACAGGAAAGAGAGAGAAAAATACTCAGATTTGGCCATGCATGTTTTGCCCAGTTCACCTATCCTAAAGTTTGAGAATGTCATATATCTAAGGTGCCAGTGGCAATTTGAGCAAAATGATAAGAACCTACGTTAGCACCACAAACTTAGCAGGTCATTAGTGACATTCAATGAGCACCAAAACAGCAGTTTGTGCATATGCGAAGGACTAAATCAATATCAGTAGGCACTAGGCAGGCCCCATATAAACAAGGAATAATCACTGCAGAATAAGAAGTGCATTTTGTTTACCAAGCCAACCCAAAGTTGGAAATAAATCTATCTCAAGATTTAACAAATTATGAGAAGCATCAAAGAATATTTAGCACTGATTCAGTAGATTGAGCTTTTCCACTTCACACTTTACCTTTAGTGCTGGACATAGCAGGAAATTTTTAATTTCAATGCTAGTTGATTCCATTTGACATTTAATTCAGAATTCAAAACCCAATTATCTAACAACATGTTTTACACAATCCCATTTCCAAACATTTTGTATACAAGCAGTTGAACAAGAATAAAAGCAATTACTTCTATGAACCTAAAAGAAAAGCCTGTAAATTGGAAGGCCAACACCTACATGATACATCACAGTTAAAATGACATGCAAATCTAGGCAATACGAGAACATAAAATCACTTCTTCACGCTAAGGTCAATGAGACCTATCATTTAAAGCACACTACAACTGTTATGCTTTCAAGGGTTCAGAATTCATGCATAATGAATGAATCCGGGAGTGATTGGATTATCTCTTCTTTAACTAACTAACCCAAATTTGAACTTTTTTGGTGTCATATTGCCAAAGATTCTCATTGTTTGGTTCTTCTTTTAAGTTTTTCATCCAAGAGAAGTGTCTATTTTTGCTTTGTTCTGGTTCTGCTATGGAATCCTTCTCCGCTAATCACATTCCAAAGCTCGATGATGATCAAGCAATAATCACAGACAAGATAATTAAGGGCTAAACGGAAAATTGTGGAGAATGCCAATCCTACAAATAGAATACTTAAAAAAGAAGATGACGAAAGAAGAAGGCTAACCAGTATTCTGAATCTGAAGGCTCTCCGGAAAGCAGATACTTCTTTCAGATGAGGAAATAATATGGCAATGTCAAGGGAAACCGTAGTTGGATACTCTGGAGAAGGCAGAGCTACTTTTCCTCCCATTTTCTCAGCAACCAAACGGAAAACGTCTCGTTCGCGGTACCCAAAAAAAACCGAAAACTACGTGGACTGTGGTTTTATTGTTTTGGGTCTACACGGCCCTTTCTCTTTCAGAACCATGTTTGACGCCTTTGCTTTGGTATACGGTCCATGGAGCGTGCGCCTCAGGACTTCTTTTTTGGGCAAATGCGTGTAAATTTTCTTCCTTATCTTCGTCGTCATTGAGCCTTGACC